AGCTTCCTCACATGAAAGATTTCGACCCGAGTGAGGATCGAACCTACAGCGGTGAGGTACCTGTGATCTCAAGTCAGCGACCTTAACCACTCAGCCACGGAGGCCCCTATATTCAGTCATTTACGCTGTACAAACGTTTAAATAGCTGTTTACGTGACGTCACAATGTAGTGCCAATACAGCGCGTGCAAAAACAGTCAAAACAAGACCGCTATTTTTTTGCCACAAACCAATTAAATTTCACATTTAATTCCATAAAAACTCTGCATCTCGCTTAGAAAATATATAATGAAATCAAATAAACACAAATACGCAAATATTTTTATATGTATTGAACCGCGTCACGCATCTATAAATAATATATTGCTGCGCGCTGTACAATTGCAGTTGCGTAGCTAGCAAGGGGATTCGTAACCATTTTTGTTTGATAATGAAATTAAATAAAAAGGTTATTTGTTTCGTTTTCCGTGAAATATTTTATATATTTTCACTCAATATGATTAAATGCCACATATTTGCACTTGCCGTCCGGGCTCGTGAAAATATGTGGCATTTTATCATGTTTCGTGAAAATATATTCCAATTTTCACTCAAACGAATAAATATCGAAGAAATTTATTTTCTACTTTAAAAATTTCTTTGTGACATGGACCTTGTTAATTTGTCTTAATCAAATTTCTTAAAATGAGAGGTGAACTGTCTGAGGGGTGTAAACAGTTAATAATCAAAAGATTGTCTGGTTCTTATTTAACGTTGTTTAAGTTCTGATTACCGGAAGTCTACTCGTATAATATAATGACGTCAATAAAATAACATATAAAGGGCGTCTCACGCTAACGTGACGCTAATATTGGCGCAATTACTAAGTACATTAATGAGCCGTGTCACGACAAAACCAACATAGTGCGTTTGCGACCAGCATGGATCCAGACCAGCCTGCGCATCCCGACAGTCTGATCAGGATCCATGCTGTTCGCTATCAGTTTCTCTATATGTAATAGGGTTGGTAAGCGATCAGCATGGATCCTGATCAGACTGCGCGGATGCGCAGGCTGGTCTGGATCTATGCTGGTCGCAAATCCATTATGTTGGTTTTGTCGTGACACGGCTTATATGTACATAACAAGGGGTAAATATCTGTAAATTGTTCCAGCGTAATATCTTGAAATCATGATGATTACCTTCCCGATAGATATTGGTTTTCCGGCGTTTAAAATAGAAACAGACTCGCTTTTAAAATAATGAAATCTCTGTAGAAGCACAATTGTTCAGGAGCACATTTGTCTCACGAGGCGTGACCGATGTGCTCGTAAACATTTATATGTGCGACAAATTGGAAATGAGACAGATGTGTTCGACACACAATAGAAAGAACACTCGAAGCACACTTGTCTCACATTCTTCCATACATACAATTGTAGACGGGACGGGCTTCCTTGCATGAATAGTTCGACGCCCCGAGTGAGTGTCGAAGCTACAGCGGTTAGGGGAAAGTGTTTTATTATGAAATCACTAGGCCACGGAGGCCCCTAAATGATCTAAGGAAAAAAAATGTGACGACCATCACACACTTATTTTGTTTTCATCAGAAATATATAAAGAAAAAATATCGCCATTTTCCGCGAATTGCTGCTTTCAGATCCGCCATTGAAAAAGCATTTACAATGTTCATGGGTCCTAAAAGATTCCGGGTAATGCCAAAATTATGGAAAATCAGGTCTCGCAGAACCGGGCGAAACGCGACATGCCGACGAGACATAAAGCGAGGCACGATATTGTAACACGAGATCTTGCAATATCTAAGTATCCCGTACCAAGAGATTTCACGGTAGAATATCGTGCCTCGCTCCATGTTTTGCCGGAATTTCGCTTTTTGTGTCTCTCGGTAAAATATCAGGCATCGTTTCAAGAAGGCCTGACTATGGTATAAGAACAAGCGCGGAAGCCATCTGATCTTGTCGCGTAATGGCGGACAGGTTATTGGACACTATCTTTTCATAGACGTCTAAATTTAAGCTGTTTTCTGTTTAGATTTCATTATGGATATGTTTTTGACATTTTGGTAGAAACAAATGCGAGCAAAGGTTGTATTTGATAAAGTCAATTTCAATTTTAGTATAAGTGGTTCTTCCACGTCATATCAGTGTGATTTTAAATGATTTTTAAGTAGAAAATGTGACGCTAAAAAGTTTTCTTAGAAAATACATGATCCCTACTTTTTTCATTATTTTATATCAGTTTATCATGAGATAATGATTTGTTTAGCTATGTTTTGTAGCTCTTAAAAATGTCAGTTTTATTTAGAATGTAAAGGGAATACTATTAAGCGGTAAATGACCTCAAAGGATTTTCTTGTTTCGCGTCGACGCGAGATTTCGGCGGGATGCGAAACGAGTCACGATATTGTATCGTTCAAATTCGTGATGACAGCGCGACGGTACGATGATGAAAACACGATAACACAATGGTGAAATCACGATGATGACACGATGTTGAAAATAATATCGCGTTTTCATCATCATGCCAACTCAGTATCATCATCGTACCATCGTTTTTTCACCATCGTAACATCGTGTTTCAACATCACGTTTTCGTCATCGTGCCTTCGTTGTTTCACGATCGTGCCATCGTTGTTTCACCATCGTTCTATCGTTGTTTCTTTATTTCTTGAATTACAGGTATTAGAATTTATAGTTCCATCGTAGTTTTTAGGTTTAAGATTTCATTAAAAAAGCATTAGCAAACCTATTGGTGACTGCATTTCTCTTGGGGAAATATGTGACAAATAATTAATAAAAGATGACATGAGACAAATGTGCTATCTTTTCCCTTAACAAAACATGAGACAAATGTGCTTTCTTGTCCCTTAAAAACTTGACCGGAGCATATTTGTCACACAAATGTGTTTTTTTGGGTAGACATTTGAGGTCCAATTTGTCTCATGTGGGACAAATGCGACCGCATTTGTCTTACATAAGACATATGTGCTCCGAGACAAATGTGCTCCTACAAAGCTCGTCGATGACTGTTTGAAAGATCTCGAGTAATGACTTCGTATTTGGTTACGGTCAGATCTAATAGCGGAGCGTTATTTAGAAGATTGGGTAAGTGACTTACTAGACCGCTTTAGATATAATAACTACCTATCCTTACAATAAAAGGAAAGGTAAGTTGAGCTTTTGTCCAACAATATTGACCTGGAACTCTTGCATTTGACCCTATCTAAACGATACGATCTACTTGTAAACCGATATGAATGTATACAGGTTAAATATTGATGCTGCACATCAAAAAACGCCGCCAAAATTAATGATGTGGTCAAGAAAAAATATCTCCGTTGCGCCGAGAATATGTCCATTTTGCCTGCATATATAATCCTTCAAAACATAAAAAAAATATTCCTATTGAATTAAAAAAAAACACTTCCAGTATGATATAATGTTCAATAAATTTTAGTCTGACAATTGTAATTTATACATGAATGTGCTCTTTATACAAAATTATTTACGTTGCGCTGAGGTCCCGAATATAGTCCATTTCGTAGGCATGTTAAACCTTCCAAAACATTAAAATAAAAAAATCCTAATGAAATTAACAAAAACGTTTATGTTGATAAATATAATTTATCTAAGTCCGAAAATTGTTATTTATAACCATACATTGTTCTCTTCATAGATATGTCCATTTCGCGGCCATTTTGCCAGAATAGAATTCTTCAAACCAACCTATTCCTATTCTTAAATGGTAATTATTTTCATGAATAAGCTACATTGTGCCTGTTTTGAAAAAAAAATGTCCGTTTTACCCGCCCGTTGCGCCAAAAAATCGTTGCGTATTTTAATCATACCCCTGGTTCCCTGTCAAAATTTGTTTCCCGTCATTAGAATAAAGACTAGCTCATTGACACGTTGTTTATAAGGTAAATAAAAAGATACAAATAAACAGAATATGATATTGAAACATGACACTATCACTTAAGTTAAACGTTTATTTTCTTATTATTATTTAAAGCTTGGTGACATGTTGTACATCAGAAAAGCTATTTTAATTAGAGAATCTGAAACTAGTGTAATTTTCTTGAAACATAAAAAAAAAATGAACAAAAGCAAGACTAAAATTTTCCAAATTGCTTAATGGACGAATAAATATGTACTAGCCGCCGCGTGCACGCGGCGTCTAAAATAACCAGTTGTAAAATGATCTAAATTAAGAGTTCCTCTCAGCGTTTTCTGTGAAGGTCTTTCACTTCAAGAATATAGAGGTAATTACGTAGGTACGAATCCTGCTTCAGCCACTTTTATTTCTTTTCTTGTTTTAATTTTAAAATTGACATTTCTTTCAAAATTAGTGCAAAAGGTTTTGATTTCTTTTTCGTATGTGTATTCTATCTGTGTAGCATTTTTATTCTATATTATAAACGTGCTGTAATTTTTACATATAAAACCGCTACTTAAAAGGTTTCCTAAAACCAGATGTAGTAAAGTGATTTCAAATTAATTCTTGCAAGAAAATTCCTAAATAAAATAAAAAAGCTTAACCATAACGTGGAGTTGGTAGGGTATGGAACCAGAAACTTTCAGATTGGTAGCCCAGCATTTATACCAGTACACCACTACTTATTGACGTGTGAAATCAACAGAAACCATATATCGATATATTAGTTAGATACCACTGTTATCAACTGACCTTTGCGAAAATTAATGAAGTGCCAGGTCAATATTTTTGGACAGTACATTCGTTGGCTGTTAGTCTGATTAAAATTACTCGCTTTGTTAGTAAATAAAACTGATAAATGATAATTCAGTAGAATGATTTGATAAAAAAAAACATCAATTTAAAGCAATGACAATGAGGAATCAAGCAGAAGGAAAAAATAGATACTAGTAAACGTCACAAATCGCATTGTTAAAGCGATATTTTTTCTCTAGAAGAACATTTTTTCTTGCATTAAACATTTGTTTTTTGGGGTTTCTTTTGCTTTTTACACGGAAAATATCTTACCTTTAAAGTTAACTTGACCGGAATCTGATGGATTTGCCTCGGCTATCATTTCTTTCATCTCCTCCTCTGTAAAGTTCAAACCAAGTTGCACTGAAACCTGGCGTAAATGAACACAATAATAATTTAAAAATGAAGAACGAGGATTCCTTTCTATCTTATTATTACAGTAATAATTTTATCTGACATCTGACCACTTCCACTTGAATTCCTTACAACATAATGTTATGTTTTTGATAAAAGGGTATTTTACTCTTAGATCAATAACTTTATACGTGGGCTGGCGCCGTACGTATTAATAAATCTTTATTCGTATGTATTGGTGATACTTCATATGTGTAAGCAATAAACGAAATGTTTTAAAGGTTGTGATTATGGTTGTGATTTGTTTAAGATTTTTTTTTTTAGATTTTTTTTGCCTCAGCGGAATTCCTATATAAGCATTGACTTTACTTGCTTTGATGGGCAAACACTAATGTATACATGTAGTTATATAACTTATATTCAAACAAACCGTAACAATATTTTATTGGTTTGTCAAGGTATAATCTCTATAAATCTGTATATATTAAAGTAGAAAAGAAATTCGCATTACCCGACGAAGTTTATCCAATGTTATAAAACCATCTCCATCCGAATCTATTAATTCGAAGAGAGCTCCTATACCAGTGTCTTTACCATCTTTAACTTCTTCTGATCCATTTTCAGACAGACTCTTATGCGTATCGCCTAATACAACATTTGATTCATCACTCTGCATAGTTGCTACATTTTGCGTGTTTTCTTTTAGCATTAGTTTAGATTTCTCATTTGAAGGAAATAAACTTTGCTTCCCGCCTGAACAGTCGCTTTTGCATGATTTAGCAATCAAACTGTTTAACACTTCTAATTCATTAGACTCATTTCTCTTTAGTTTATCGTCATTATTAATAGCATTACCTGACTGTCGACTCTCTTTGTCTGGTGCAATTTTATCACTGTCGCTAACAAAAGTTTCTTGTAGCACTTTATCTGTCGATACATTTAATTCGTCTTCTAGATCTTTTGTTATATTGTTGTCATTTTGTTCATTTGTAGTTTCTGCATATATTATATCAGAATCATTTGTTTTTATAGCAAAGTCATCGTGTTTAGCTGATTCTATAGAATCATTTCTTGTCATTTCTATTGATCTATGGTTTACTTCATCTTCTGATACTTCAGTGAATACATAGTTTTTTTCTTTTATTAAAATTACTTCACATTTTGGCTTTTTTGATACATTTTTAGAATGTTTAGGCAAAGACAAACTTAATAAAGCCTTTTTGTCTGAGTTAGTAGATAAGCCTTTCCTCGGAGCTTTTTTCGATAACTTCTTTGACGTATCTGCTGTCACCTTTGTCACTGTCTTTTTTCCTCTTTTATCTGATGAAGCTACTTTTTGTCCCTTTTTAGAAGTTTTCAATGTCCTCTGACTACCCCAACCACTACTGTGTAAACCACTGTCCTCTCGACGCATTTCAAACGAATATGGCGTCTCTCCAAATCTGATCTTACCAAATAAATACTTGAATATGAACGCTGGAATAAAGTATGGATAAAATGACTATTTAATACAACATTAACCACCTCGGTACCGCCATTTCAGTTATTAGACTTAATAACCGTAACTTGATTTTTATTTAATTTTCAATACGTAATTGTTATCTCTATCCTTTTGACTTTTGATTTCGTTTTGGGTAAAGGCAAATTACACACTATTAATGAGAATGATGATGTTTTGTTCTTAGTGTTTTAAACTGCACAGCTCTTTAACAATACAATACATTTAACATAAAATAGTTGATATTTGTTCTATGCCAGCCATGACACACCGACATCGTATCATTATATAAGATGTGTAAAGTTGGCGGCCTAGCGGCCCGCGGCCTAGCGGCCCGCGGCCTGGCGGCGTGAAGTTGGCGGCCTGACGGCGTGAAGTTGGCGGCCTGACGGCGTGAAGTTGGCTGCCTGGAGGCCCAGCGGCCTGACGGCCTTGTTGCGTGAAGTTGGCGGCCTAGCGGCCTAAATTTTTAATTTGTGATAACGTTATAAAAAACATCAAAGAACAGAAGGCTCTGAATTTGTGAAGTTGTTTGGGTCTCAGAATGTCAGAAAGGTGAAGGTTGTGAGATTATAAACCAGTTTGTTTTTGTATAGTGCTACCAATGCTGTTTCCAGTGTTATAACTGTAATAATTGGCTATAAGGCTAATTGCAACACTGACATATAAGTCAATTTGGCTTACACAATTTAAAAAGAATAAAAATTAAAAAATACAAAAAACATGAGTTGCCTTAACTGGGATTTGAACTCCAGAACTCTCGCTTCCTAAACGAGCGTGTAACCTCTTGACCACGGGGAAGTTATTGGAGAGGTTATTAGACCTCTCCATAGTGTTCAGACTGATTGCTGGCGGCATTCATTTTTGCATATCTGAATGTAATTAATTAACTCTAATTTGTTAAATAATTTTAATTTATAAACATTCATTGTGCCTTTTATGCAAAAATATCTCCAAATAATTTCGAATTCAACAAATCTTCCACAGCTGAAAAAAGACCTCTCTTCTTTTTAAATAAGCAAACTTGTAAGATAACCGCATGAAGAAACCACGTTATTCTAAATTATGGATTGTAATCCTTATTGATTTCGGGTAAACCTATTGTTTAACACTGATTTAAATAATCATGGAGCTTAATAAGCATGTATATCTGTAAAGAATTACACAATATTAGAAATCTTCGATCAATCGGGAACTATCTTTTCTTCCCGAGAGACTTGAAAGGGTCTGAAATTTCGCTACTATTATTTGTTTGGTCTGACGACCCAATCCTTGTCATTTTATGTTATTTAAAGGATATATAAAAAGAACAAATCACTTTGAGAACACTTTTTATTTTAAATTAATCATTTTTGTGAAGATGGCGGCCTGGCGGTACCGAGGTCTAGCCTAGAATTTTTAATGTCAAAGAATTTAAACGACTCTTTATTAAGTTTTAAAGACGCATTTTATCATTAAAAAGTTACATAAGTGAAACAAAAAACACATTCATATTTTTTTTGTTTTCCAGGGGCCTGAGAGCCGAAATATTACTGTCGTAGAAATTTATAAAAACAATAAAAACGGCGCTTATTGAAACTTTTAAGACTATTATTGATATTTAAAATTGAGAGATTTTTTATTCCATCATTTTTGTGAAGTTGGCGGCCTGGCGGCCCAGTGGTCTTTAGAGACCTAAAATATCTAATGTTGTTGAAATTGTCAAAGAATTAAAACGACTCTTAATATAGTTTTAAAGACATATATTATCATCTAAAAGTACAAAAAGAAAAACAATCACATTCAGAAAATTCAAACAATCGTTAAGCTGCATCTCTTCTTATTTCTTTGTCATAAAACAAGTCAATAAACAAGTCACAAGTTACATGAATGTTCAGGATGCTTACATGAATGTTTTTCAGCAAATGACGGTAAAATATTTGGCAAATTGGCAGAAAGGAAAAGACAGAAAAAGATAACTGTCTTTCGTCATGATATGTTTGATTTTATTTGATTAAAATAAAGTCCACACACGTATGTAATTACCTTATTTAACATCAAACTTGCTCGTCGCTGAAAAGGCACAGGACATCAGCAAAGGGAATTGTCTTAAGAACTTCATTAAATGAATTTTTTATATTTTATAGAATTTCTACAACATTAAAATTTTTGGCCGCCAGGCCGCCAACTTCACAATAAAAAAGTTCTCTGAAAGTACTTTTCTTTTTATATACCTTTTAAATATCAAGAATAGTCTTGAGAACTTCATAATGTCCCGTTTTTATCATATTTAGAACATTTTAACAACTTTAAATTTCCGGCTGACATGTCGCTAGAGAAAAAAAAACTTTTTAAATGTGATTTTTTTCTTTTATATAACTGTTAACTGTTAAATGATAAGATATGGCTTTAAAAGTTAATTAAGAGTCGTTTTTCAAATCTTTTCCAAACTTTTACAACATTAAAAGTTTAGGCCGTCAGGCCGCTGGGCCGCCAACTTCACAAAAATGATAAAATAAACAGTTTTCTCAAAGTGATTTTGTTCTTCGTCTTATATACCTTTTAATATCAAGAATAGTCTTCAGAGTTTCAATTAGGACCGTTCTTATTGCTTTTATAAATATCTACGACAGTAAAATTTCCGGCTCCAAGGCCCTAGAAAACAAAAAATTATGATTTTGATTTTTTCTCTTATGTAACATTTAGATGATAAGATATGTCTTTAAACTTAATTAAGAGTCGTTTTAATTTCTTTGACATTCAGAATTCTAGGCTACTAGGTCGCCGGGACGCCAGGCCGCCTAGACCACCAACTTCACAAAAAAATGATTTAATAAAAAGTTTTCTCAAAGTGATTTTTCTCTTAATATTTCCTTTAAATAACTTAAAATAACAAGGATTGTCTTTAAAACATTATTAATTGCCGTTTTTATTCTTTTTATAACGTTACCACAAATTAAAAATTTAGGCCGCCAACTTCACGCCGTCAGGTCTTTGGGCCGCCAGGCCGCCAACTTAACACCGCCAAACCGCTGGGCCGCTAGGCCGCCAACTTCACACATCGCATTATATATAACATATTTGTTATGTATGTAAATGAAACATTTTTAGTATAATCCTTTCTTACTTATAAAACTTCACCTATGAAACAATGTCAAAATAATAAAGCATGATCAATATAATGACGTACTAGTATGTGGCAAGGCGAAAAGGTTAGAGTATTTAATAAAAGAGGTCATTCTGATTTTAGGTAACATTACTGTTATCGTTCAAACTAATTTTGAAGCCTTAAAACAAAATGTGATCTTGTTACACATGGCGAAGTTTACATACTTTAAAAAAGTTCTCTAGCTAATGTTCATGCAAACTTAGTAAGTTTGTAACAAACGTATAATAAAAAAGGACAGTGGGTTGTGTATACAGACCAAATGGATGCAAACAACATTATGCATAGGATATCGGTTGATAAATTACAAATATGCAATATATTGGGATATTGCTGTACGCGATAAGGATAGAAGTATAGAATCGTATTTTGAATAGAGAAGGAAACGCCACTCTGTGCAGCATTGGTTATTTAATTGCTTACTTTAAGCCTTTTTGGTTTATGACTTGACTAAGAAAAGATTTTTTTTTCGATTTTTTTTTAATCTTAAGAAATAATTAACAATTAATTACTGAATCATCAAAACGGATATAATTGATTTTGCTCGAATAAGAAATTAAGGCGTGTTATGCTTTTCTATTCTGCTTATTAATGATTTGTAAATACTGTTTATCCAAAAACATTTCAGTAGGACGTTAACAGTTAATTATAAAATCGGAGGACTACGGGTAATAGCGAAATACCAGGGCCGAAGTTTCATTTTTCAGTCTGTCACCGCACTTAACGATTATGGTAGTTATGTTGTAGCATCAGCACCACAATTGCGGGAGATTGTCCTACTAAAAAACACTGGACATTAAGCTGAGATTTTTAATACCGGACTTGCCCCGCTGGATCTTTAATCAAAGGGCTGTAAGCTCTGTGGTATTTTCTGATCTTTGCAATCTAAATTGTACAGTATCTGTATGTATTTTCCTGTATAAGTTTATTTTGATATACTATCATTCATCTTGAAGGGCACCGAGTTACAGAGACTGCGTTAAGATTTTTTGCTATAACAGTTTGAGTTTGATACATACGGAATGTTGCATGACCAGAGTTTCTAACTTGCATTATAAATCATTTATGTACATTTTTTTATGACAGCCACACTAAATCCTTGCATATTGTGGCTTATTCCTTGAGAAAGAATGTTAAAATCGCTAAAAATATTTTTAAAAAAAAGAGAAAAAGAAAAAAAAACAACAACAAAAATTGCGTTGCCTTGAACCCCAGACCTGTCGCTTGTGTAACCCTTGGACCACGGGGAAGTTATAAGAAATCAGTGTGATGCAAACCACATTATTGAAAATTAGGGATTGTAATCATCATTAATTTCGAGATATTTTTTTCACGGTAAACCTGTTGTTTAACACTGATGTAAATAATTTAGCAAAATCTTCTCGCCCAAACAGTCCAACATGTAAATAATATTGCACTACTCTTTGTGAAATACGCGTTGAAGTGTGGCTCAAATAGCGCTTTGTTTAAGTGGATTAAATTATCGGGGGCTTAACTTATAAGACCGTTATTTATGGAAGAAATTGATTATCGATCGTCGACTGCCTAAATTCGTCCCTGTCCTAGAGTCAACATCCTTACTTTATTTTTTAAAAATTCTACATGACAAATGTTCATTTAGGCGATCACAATAATCCGAAGCCTTACGGAAATAGCTGAGCAATTTTCATTGATTAAAATGATATTCATCCGCTTAATTAATGAGAGTGCATTTATTGACAATTCTATAAGCCAAAGCTACTTTTAAATTTTGAATGCGTTATAATTCGCTGGATATTTGTAAGAAAATAAAACTCTTTCTTAAAATCTCTTTCTTTTACATCGCTAGTTCAAGCTGTTTTGAGAACTACTTTTACTTTTAGGATTGGTGGGAAGCGCTGTTCCTGAGATTGAATGTCAGCATTGTATTTCCTGATCTGCGATCAGAGAATACAAAAACAGGTTTTTAATCGATATTCCAAAAAATGAAAGACACCATTTATTGTTTGGTGCATAACTTTTTCCTTCTTTTTTTTAGCTCTTTTAGTTTTCATGTAGCCTGACATGCGTTCAAAAATACACACTACGAGAAAATTCGATCTGATCTTGGGTTTCTTGCTTCTCTTAGAAGTCGGTACAACAATCCGTTGTTAGAATTTCTAATATTCTTAAGTGTGTTATAAAACGCATGCACCTCCACGGAAAGAACAGATTCATCGATATTTTAACCCGAATGATTATATTTGACGAAGCATAGAAATTCATACCAAATAAGAAACATTATATAATGAAAAAGAATAAAGCTTATTTAGTTTGATATTTATTTCCATCTTACATTCACAATTCTCCTCAACAAAATTATTATCATTACAAATTATATAGTTTGATAACATATATACTAAAAGTAAGCGCAATGTCAGTTTCCTTACGTATTAACAAACACTGCTGGTAATAAATACAAAACATTGTTTACTGAATGATTTAAAACCATGAATTTCTAATATTGATGAACACCTGGCTGCTTAAACAGTCTACTTTGTTGACATCATTGCACAAAATTCTGAAGAAAGAAATAGGAGCCAGATGTTACGAAACAAGTACATCTAAAAAATATACTGCATACAGCTGCAACAGAGATATTTTGGCAAACAAGAACATGATGAAACGGATGTGGCTAGATTTCTAACAAACATGTTGCTTAAACAGTGTTTTACTTTATATATTACAACAGAATGAAAATAACTAATATATCTTAAAGTTATAACGACGATACGGAAGGAAGATTTTATATGATAAAACACGTATTAGTAGAAAACGAGAAGGAAATATGAAGCCTTGTTCTTTCCGTGGAAGTTTGTCATGTAGAAATCAGAAAGAATGTAGAGACGATAAGTAGTATTGTGAATGAATAATTTAAATTGAATGGATTAAATAAACATTAAATCTACTCTATCATGTATGTAACAGCTATACATTATTAGTTCTACATATAACCTTTTGGCTGTTAGACTCACCGTTATAATCTATCTCACCGTTACCATCAGAGTCTGCTTCTCTTATCATATCGTTAACTTCTTCTGGTGTCATCTTTTCTCCCATGTTTAACATGACTTGTCTAAGCTCGTCGGCTGATATTGTACCACTAAAGAAAATTATCAGTTACACAAAATTATGTCAACAACTGTCTTAGAAAGGTTTCCCTTCGTCGTAATCTACCTTTTAAATTTGTAACATTCTATTCTCTGTAAATATTTTAGACAAAATGAATCCGATACAAAGGAACGTTTTGTTTTTTTTTTCTTCAAGTTTTTTTTTCAAAAGAAAATAGGAGTATGTTAAGTTTTAATTATAAAAGTAGATGTACGTTTAACCTTATTGTGATGCATGCAAATTTCTACTTCAAATTTCTCATTTCACTAGTCTTGATATAGGCTGCACATTGTAGTATTCCCTCACATTAAGACAACATTTTTCTAGTGTTTTTATAGTATGACGAAGTACACTGTAGGCCTACCTGCCGTCCTTGTCAAACACTGCAAACGCTTCTCTCATTTCTTGTTCTGGATCAGTTTCTTCAGCCATTTTCTTTTCCATCATTTCACAAAATTCTTGAAAATCTATTGATCCGCTTCCTTTAATAGAGCAATAAAAGTGACCACCAATGATATTTTATTGATGTTCATTGACTTTTTATATATAAAGACTTCATCTTAGTACATATTTCTGGTCGCATTGATGACAACACTTTAGTTTTGAAAATTAAATAATTTCTATGATGATGGGCATGAGAGATTCATTATTTGTCATTTAACATACTTAGCTAACCGTTAACGAGAAGTCTCTCATTTTCAAAATTTTCATAAAATTTGGAATTTTACGAATCTTTGAAACAAAAATACATAGTTATATATTTATAGATACTTCATGGAAACGACAACAACAACAACGACGACGACGACAACAACAAAACAACAACGAAAAAAAAACAACACGAAAACCCGATATAACAATATTTCCTACCGTCAGCATCAACCTGCTCTATCATTTCTTTGAGATCAGCTTCTGTTGGGTTAGCTCCCAAAGCTCGCATGGCTGTACCAAGCTCTTTAACTGAAATAGTTCCATCCCCATCCTGGTCAAACATAGAAAATGCCTCTTTATATTCTGAAAATTAGTATCAAAGGCTTAATAACTCACATGTTTGCAATAATGGAAGAAAATGTGTTGTTTTAATAAAGAATTGTAATCATCCAGTTATTTCTTATCTAAATAATTCAAATTGCAAATGCAAATTCAGATAGAATAACTTTTTCGTGCATAAATTATATTGTTATCAATTCACAGACTCAATTATTTTATAGAATCGAATTTTACTTAATTGGGCCATTTCATTTTGCTTATATTCAAGTATCATATTATTTTACTAAACATTATCATGTAAAATATGTGGTGTATTTTTAAAAGAAAATTGGTTTGAGTTTTGTTGTTTTTTAGCTTAATTTTAACATTACTATGGTGGCTTATTTTATTTGTTATTAAACTTCGCCTCGCGCCCTCGCTAATGTGTCTTTTCGCTCCGCGCCCCGCCATTTCAACTTATTAATTATCGACATTTCACTTTGCGGGGCAGCGGGACGAAAACACGCTAATAAGCGGGGGCGCGGGACGAAGTTTTATTTTTTTTTTAAACTTCGCCCCCCCCCCCCTAATTAGCGTGTTTTCGCTCCGAGCCCCGCCGTTTTATTTCTTCTTTTTGTTAATTGCGCATGCGTCAAAATGGTAGCACTTTTTTGAAAACTGTTAAAAAAATTGTGAAAAAAAGGATTTAAAGTAGTTTTTTTAGTGATTTTGGATTTGATTTATGACTGAAAATGGATATAAATAAGTAAAGTTTATATAGTATGGGAAATAAAAAACGAAGAATAGAAATACATGTAGCAGTGGTAATGACGTTGAAGAAATCAACAATAGAAAGGTATCTTAACAAAGAGGCCCGTCTGGTGATTTAGATATAAATATTTCTTAACCAGACTTATTCCGTTTTATATGATGATAACTCATAAATCGTGAATTTGACATAAATTCAAAAGCAAAAGTTTCCGACATAAGTTCAGCCATATTAGCGGGTAAAGTAGATGAACATGAAAAGGCTCGGGAGAGTATAAGAGAGGAGGTGTCTTAATGTCAAATCTCAGTCAATGAGTAACAACCTCTTTTTTACTAATGTACCGGAAGACAACTCTAGTGGTAACGAGCCAACGGAAGGGACCGAGCGTAAACTATGGAAACACCTCCAGGAAGCCTTCAAACGTTGCCAAGGAGACAGCTGACAGTATCCGCCTCGAGCAAGTTCACAGGTCACAAGATCAGCCCATACCTGGGAAAACCCGGACTATAGTTGCCAAATTTACATTTTTCAAAAAGCGCAAGCTAATAGGAAGACAGTGGAAAAATTTGAATGACACACCTTATAAAATGTACAAGCAATTTCCACAGGAAGAGATCGAAAAGCGCAGGAGACTAGTGCCAAGAATGAAGGCCGACAGGGAGAAGAGAAAAAGGTCACGGATTGCATATGATACGCTGTTCATTGACGGTAAGCCTGTCCAGGAGTAGGGGTGCGCCGGAGGTGAGCTAGCTATCTTGTCATGGAACGTGCATGGGTTAACATCTGACCAAACGAATCATAAAGACTTTGTAGATATTATTTCAAGTCACGATATATGTTTTTGTATGAATCTTGGACAAATTCTAGTAGTAATATTTCTTTAAATGGGTATATTTCATTCAATTTTTATAGAAAATTTCAAAATAGGGGTGCGCGAAGATGCAGTGGTGGCGTTATTTTGTATTTTTAAGAGCATTTAAAAGAAGGTCTACAAGTAATAAAAAATCAATAAAAAATCACCATGATACAATTATTTGGCTTAAATTTGATGGTAATTTTTTCAATATAAAAGGAGATATTTATGTGTGTGGTGTAATTATATGGGGTTCAGACTCACCTGCGTACAATAATTTTAATGTTGATTTGTTTGATTTATTAAAAAATGATATTTTTTATACGACAGTTTAGAGGCTGTGTTCATTCTTGGAGATTTCAATAGTAGAGTAGGAAATAAACATGACTTTATTATACATGATACTTTGAATAATGTTTTTGATGATATAGATTAAAACCCCGATAATAGTTCATTCAGGGCCTCGATAGACTGTAAACATAACAGCCATGGTATAAGATTATTACATCTTTGTAAATCATCATGTTCACGAATAGTTAATGGTCGTATCGGGGACACTAATCATCATACTTTTATTTCGCATAACGGGGCATCTGTTATAGACTATTTATTATGTAACGAACGCAATTTTTCACTGATCAATAATTTTAGTATATTGTCATTCAATGAATGGAGCGATCATACCTCCTTACAATTGAAAATATCGTGCAACAATACATCTGATAAAGATATTATATTTACTGAAATAAAATACAAATGGAATGATGTATGTAAACAACAATTTAGATCAGGAATCATTGCTAATTTACCTTTATTTAATAATATTGTTAATGATTTAGACAATAGCAGTCGACAGTCAGTCAATAAAGCAATAGTTTAATAGTTTTACATATGTATTACGAAATTTTAGTGACCATTATTTTCAAAAAAAATGTCATTTTTAAAATGTTGATTGTTTTGAAGAAGAAAGTTGTATTAAGCATGCTGATTGGTTTGATATAGAATGTAGGAATGCACGTAATAAGTACTTAGAATCTTTAAGGTTGTTAATATCTCAAAGACAGACTATTTTAGAATAAGGTTGTGTGAAAATAAGTCATTTTATAAAAGTATTGTTAGAAAAAAGAAAAGCTTGCATTACAGAAAGAAAATGTCTGAGATAGAAAATTTAAAGAAAGGTAAACCTAGAGATTTTTAGAAATATTTTAAAAAGAAATCGAACAATTTTGGAAAAAGTATAACAGTTGAACAATTTAATGAATATTTTTCTATTATAAGTAACGAATTATTTGCTTGTTGCAATGAGGAGGCTATAGTGGGGCGGGAAATAAGGTCTCTGCTGTCAAAATAGTGCAAATTGTGATACAAGCATGAAACTTTCAGGAAATTATCTTTAGACCATGTAGATTTCAAAAATGAAGTGGGCCCAAAAATATCTCTGCTCATTCAAGATGGCCGCCATTTTCAAAATGGCCGCCATATAAATTTGATGTACCATAATAGATCATTCATTCCAATTTTTTGTACAAGACCTGAAACTTGCATATAGTTTCCCCTTTTCAAAAATTTAAATCTTTAAGCAATTTCTCTTGCATATTTCTTCAGAATCCAAGATGGCGTCCAATATGGCTGCCAATTTTAATGAAAACTGATATATCTCTTTTGTAGTATAATTTTTGCACACGGTATGCGTATTTCCATATAAAATTGTGAAATATATTAGAAAAAAATCAAATTTTAGGTGAACCACATTGTTAGTCATGTTTTTAGTTTTTTGACAAAAAAATCTTTAAAAAAAATCAAAGAAAAAGTGCCATTTTTTTCATTTTTCTCTAACATGGTTTTCTAGGTCTTTGTACAAAATTCCAAAAGTTACATAGTTTCTTAAAGTGTATTTGGTATTCAATCAACACTATGTTTTATTGTATAATTGTAACAAAAACAAACAAAAATGTGAAGGTTTTATACTTATTAAAAGTGGGTGGGGTAAATTTATCAGACAATTGTAGTACAAAATAACGTTTTTTAAGAATTCTTATGCAAATATTCACTGTAAAAGTATCTTATTGTATTAAGGTATTTTAGTTTTCCTTTAGGTCTAGAGGGTGTACTAAAATATCAATAAATGCAGATACAATCATATGTATACATTCAGTTATTAAATGTGTTTGCATGATATAAGTTATTTCAATAGTCATAATATAACTTGATAATTGTACAGAAAGAAGACTGAATATTCATCAACGAACCATATGTTAGATAAAATCATGAGTGAAATGTTGTCTATTTATGAATACAATTACTTCCTGCACAATTTAGTCTTGCTAAAAGCTTGTAACAGAATGATTCAAAGTTATATTTACTTGCACATCATTGTAACCAAGTATAATTGAATAAGTACCGTCCATTTCTAATAACTTATGTAGACATGATATTTTCAAAAGAAACAAAAATCTAGGCGACTGATACATCATATTATCTAATGACTAGGTGTGCTAAAATAGGTATCAATAAAACCGCTTGACCCACATAACAAACATAGCTTATACATGTACTTTGGAATATAAACTAAATGTATTCCTACTTTATTTTTCCCATAAAACAAGAGAGCATTGTTGACCCTAGATCACGCGCCTAAGACCCACTGCTGGAAAAGGTCTATAATTCTTTTATACTGAAGAATGCTAATATCATATAAGGAGTATCTTTTTTTCACCAGTCATGATTTAAAGAATCATGTCCAATAACTAGGCTCTCGGAACTACAAGAAGACTCATATAACTATATTCCAATAAAAGTCCATGTAAACTAAGTGATCTTGACCCTATGCCAATAGTTTATAATCTTTATGTAGCATCACAATGTTATGATATACAATATTATCTCTTCTCTGTGCACATAGTTTCGGAGAAGAATTTTAATATATAAGTCAATGTAAACTAAGTGACAGGGAAAGCCATTTTGGACTGCAGGAACATGATTTAAAGGCCATCACGAGGAACACAGTTTTTAAAGACTTGTGTAGGGAATCGCATTGAAGTTGTTTTGTTGTTGATGTTATTAAAAAAATCAACAAACAAAAAACTGTAATGCCTAGAGCTTTAGTCATAATATAGCTATAGTCAAAATAGAACCTTGCCAAGTAAAGAAGACCTCTTTAAAGTTACATAAAACACTTTTGTATCATTAAGTGGACATGCAATAAAAAAATCTTCTCAAAAATCAAAATGCATAGAGCACAGGTACTAAGCTGGCATGTAGCACCACCTTGGGTCTTTATTAACACATTTAATGAATCATGCTCATAGAGCCACCTGGGTTCACAGACTTGTATAGGAAAACACATTAAAAACATCTAGTGTTAAACTTCATTGACTTGAAATAAGATATTTGGGATGTAGACTGATATGACATGCATAAATTTGTATGATGCTACTGCAGTCTAAAATGGTTTTGCAATGGTATCACTTAATTTACAAAGACTACTGTAATAAATCTGTTTTCTCTTAACCTACACTATCCGACGCATATACATTAATCATGTATCACCATAATTATGTTATAATAATGATATATCATGGACAACATGGTCCAAATTTACCAAACACAAAAGGTCACTAAGTTTATATGGACTCGTATATAGATATGGTTATTAAAGTTCTCTCGTGTGAAATAAAAAATTGAAAGCAGATATTGAGCATGTTTCTTTAAAAACAACCGGATTCAATTATGACACAAATCATGTGTTATGACATAATTGACACACTCAAAATGATCTTGTTACCTGTTTTCCAACAATGATCTTAGGTGAGTGATCCAGGGTCATCATTACCCTCTTATTGAAAGAAAAAAATAAGATATGATAACTTTAGGAAATACTAGTACACTTAGTTTGTATCTTAACTTTTCAAAAAGTTGCATGCAGGCCTTTCACATCACATACATTTTGTTGGCTTTTAAGCCATGTTTATATTGTAAATAAAAAATTGTGGAGGAGTCAAAAATATGCATTTATGGACTACCTTTATACCTAACATTCAAGTACATGTTTGCTATTTTAAGCACGTTTAGTTGATTTATTGTCTTCTTATATGTCTTTACGATTAACAATTAATATATGATATCAAATATATTGAAACAAGAATTATCATGCAACCAAATTTAAAAACTGAATGTATACACATGTTTGTATGTGCATTTCTTGCTCACCCACCAAATGGCCCGAAGGAAGACAAAAATACTTTCATCCAATAAAAAGTACTTTTTAAGTTGGAACATTTGCATAAGAATTCATAGAAAAGTAAAAAGGTAAAGAAATAGAATGAACTTAGCTATGTAGATTTTCTGTTGTTTTTTCTTTCACAATTATCATATAAAATTACCCCACCCACTTTCACAAAATATAAAACCTACAGATTTAATGCTTTTCTTATATTCTTTACAATAAACACATGATATTAATGGAATGTCAAATACAGTTTAAGATATAAAGTAACTTTTTTAACTTTGTACATTACTTTAGAAAATCAAATTTGAAAAATATGAAAAAAATGGAATTTTTTCTTGATCTTTTTTAAAGATATTTTTAGACAAAAACTTTTAAAATGTTTACTTTTATTGAGATTAACATATAATTTGATTATCTCTGATATGTTTAAACACTTTTTTTATCATAATAAACATAATTTGTGCAACAAATTATACTATAAAAATGATATAACAGTTTTGCACAAAATCGACGGCCATATTGGACGCCATCTTGGATTTGGACGAAGTATGAAAGAGAAATTTTGTGAGAATTAAATTTTTGAAAAGGAGAGATTATATGCATGCTTTTGGTGTGAGTTAAAGGTCTGTACAAAAAATTGGAATGAATGAGCTAGAATGTATTCAAATTTATATGGCGGCCATTTTGAAAATGGCGGCCATCTTGAATGAGCAGAGATATTTTTGGGCCCACTTCACTTTTGAAATCTACATGGTCTAAAGATGTTTTCCTGAAAGTTTCATGCTTGTATCACAATTTGCACTATTTTCTCAATTTCCCGCCCCACTACTAATCAGTTTTGTCATAATAACGATTTTATGAGGTCAAATGAATTTTTTCCAGAATTAGACCAGCCAATTACAGTTTGTGAAATTTTAACTGCTGTAAAAATCACTAAAGCGTTACAAAGCGTATGGTTAAACGAGTACTAGTAATATTAATAGTATAGATATTTTATCGGCTCATATCTGTGATTTATTAAATGGTATTTTAGATTCGGGTTATTTCCCCGAGAAATGGATGTCACGATGATGTAAATAGTTATAGACGTATTACTCTTGTTAGTTGTATGTCAAAATTGTTTACTACTGTTATTAATAATCGAACTGAGAAATTTTGTAACGAACATAACACTATTTCGGATGCTCAATTCGGATTCCGTAAAGGAAGGTCTACTGTAGATGCTATATTTGTACTTATGTCATTAGTTGAAAAATATTTGAATGAAAATAAAAGATTAAATGTTATATTTGTTGATATGATGAAGTGTTTTGATTCTATTGATAGAAATGATTTATGGTTTAAAATGCATAATTTTGGAATACAGGGTAAATTGTTAAAAATTGTTCGTAATATGTACCAGAAAATTTAGTCTTGTGTTAAACTATGTTCAAGTTTTCTGAATATTTCCAATATGCTGTTGGTCTTTGTCAAGGGGAGAAAATGTCCCCTCTACTTTTTCAATTTTTGTTAGAAGACATCGAATTGTATCTTCAAAACAATCCCAACTCAGGTTTAATATTAGATGATATTGTTTTAATACTTTTACTTTTTTGCAGATGATATAGCAATTTTAGGCAAAAGCCCTGAGGAAATACTTTTAGATTTTTTGTATTTATATTGTAACAACTGTGGCCTTAAAGTAAATACAACAAAAACTAAAATAATGGTATTTAGTAAAAAAAGGTCGTGTTTTACCAACTGAGCAATGGAACTATAATGGCCAAAATATTGGCCAAAATATTGAAGTTGTTAATGATTTTAATTATCTTTGGACAGTTTTTAATTATACGGGCAATTTTACATTAAATCGGGCATATTTGAGTGGTAAAGCTTTAAAGGCAATGAATGTACTTCTTTGTAAATTGAAAGAATTTGACATTTCTCCCAGAACATTATGTCAGTTATTTGACTTATTTTTTTTTCATCGATATTAAATTATTCATGTGAAATATACTAAGTCTAAATGCTAGAAAAAATACATTTAAAAATTTGTAAAAAGATATTAAGAGTTCAACCTAACACTTGTATACGGTGAACTGGGAAGATATCCCTTATATATTCATAGGTTTGTAAGGATAATAAAATACTGGTTAAAAAATGTAGAAACTGATAACATAATCCTTAAGACAGTATAAAATCAAGTTCTAGATGATAGCAACAATGGTCATAAAAATTGGGTTTCAAATGTAAAAAAAAACTTTTGAATGATTATGGATTTTCATATGTATTTGATAATGTTAATAATATTGACAAATAATATTTTTATTTGAATTTAGAAGTCGTGTTATTGACTTATAAATAGGAATGGTATGCTACTTACTATAATAGTAATGTATTGTATATGTACAAAAATGTTAAATGTAGTTTTGAGTATGAACGTTATTTGGATATCTTGCCAAGATGTTTTAGATTTTATTTCTGTAGATTAGGAATGAGTAGTTTGTCTTTGAGAATACAAACTGGCAGATATTCTAGAAATAGAATTGTTAGAGAAGCAAGGTATTGTTAATGCTGTAATGCCTCAGACATTGAAGATGAATTTCATTTTGTTTGTATATGTCGTTGTTATGCAGAGTTAAGAAAAAAGTATTTGAAAATAAAATATACCAGAAACCCATCAGTTTATAAATTTTTACAATTATTGAACTCAAATAGTAAATATGAATTAATTCAGTTATCCAAATTTTTAAAGAAGCACTTGCTTTGAGAAACACACTGTTAAACATCATAATTGCTCATTCTCCTTTTCGTATGTCTTTACTTTTTTAATTCGTAGTATACATATTTATTATTTCATTTTCTTGTTACTAGATAAATTAAGATTCAGAGTTTTAAAAATGTCATGATTGCTATCACCATTATATTGACGTTATGCTTGTAAATATTATTGTATTATAGATGATGTACAATGTACAAATCTTTATAAAGTATATATGTTCTGTTAGATGTTCTTAAATCTCGCTCCGCTCCGCCCTTCGCTAAAAAGCTAGTTTTTGCTCTGCGCCCCAGCTATTTTAACTTGTTATTTCTCGACTTCTCGCTTGGCGGGGTCGCGGGGCGAAAACACAAATGGCACAAATCAGCCGCCATATCTTACAGCCCATTAGCAAAAACAATTGAGCACACCGATTTTCTGAGCACAAGTTTCCATGCTTATCGGTTATTAAATTCTGTATGCAAAATGAATGTGAATTGTGGACAAACTGCAAGTCTTATGCCACTGTTACAATAGAGGGTAAGCACACGGGTTAATACCAACAGGGTAACGTTCATAGACATTTATATATAAAACATTTCAACTGGAGATATCTCTATTTGTACAGAAATTAAGTAATCTTATAGTAAAACGGTAACTAATAAACATGTTTGCAAGTGAAACAATTATACTTATTTGCCATAAATATAAACAATACAAATACATTTCATTGGAAGATTCACACGGCGCAACGTGCAAAAAATAAAAAAGTAGAAATTTTACAATTAAAAAAATGTTAAGGAACACAAGTATGACATTTATCTTTGATGATTTAAAGACTTCTATACGTTTCTTGTCGTAAAGGGAGGTTGGTTTTATCACAGCGACATAGAAAAACTACAAAATGAGTTGGAGTCTAAATATCTGAACAAATTTGAAAACAGTTGAAAGAGTTTGATGAAAACCACAAAAAGTAGTTATCCTTTTGATTTACAACATCTTTTGTTTCATTACGCTCTCAAAGCATCTATAGCAACATGCATGTTTTCGAGACGGAGGAAAAAAAATAAACAACAAGAAAAATATCAACAGCAATAACAATGTCATATCTCATGAATTTATGTTACTGAAATTTGATCAACAAGTATATCTGGCCAAGTACGGAAACGGCGATGGGTAAGTTCTACTTTTATTTTTTTAAGAAAGAAAAGAAACTTACCTGCAATTTTTTCGGCTGAAAGTGAACTCTGAAAGAAGAAAATCAGAAAATAAACTGTAATACAAGAAATATATAATCCTTTATGCAAACATTTTGTGGCTTTAGAAAAGAAACACTGTATTTTACATTATACAAATGTAAACGGAACTAAAGATATTTACATAAATACTTTCTCTGATTTTTTTTGTACATAATAACTTATCCTTTTTTTGAATTTTTGTGTACATAATAACTTACCATTTTTGTAGGTTATATTTGCCTTATCCCAATATGTGTGTCCACTTTCTGAAAATATATACGAGTGTTTTAAATTGAGAATACAAGATCGGATTTAGGAATTAACTCCAGGTCAATAATAAATCCCTTAATATGGTATTTAGAACCATGGATTATTTAGTATGATTATTTACCACCACAAAGACCTAAGTACAATCATGCATGTCTTATCGAGGATCAAATAATACATTTTCGTAAATAATACACTCTTTAACAATATAGAAGACTTATAGTAATCCAGATTTATGTAACAATTTACAATTAATACGTTAACAAATTTAATGACTTTTATACACCAAGATTTGAGAATTAAGCTGGTATAATATTCGTAGCAGTGTATTTTCTATGGTGGTTGATTTACGCCATGTCGTATTTTCGCTGCTTTGCCTCCAAAATGCGACAACAACGTGTTTTCGCTTTTTCGGATTTTCGAGATGAAAAAGCAAAAACACGACAGAAGAAGGGCGACAATTAATATGACACGTAAACTCTGTCGTCTGTTTGCATCTCATCGGTCGTATTATCGCTTTTCTCATTAGTGTTCGCATTGTTTTATTTTGACTTTTTTGTTCGCATTGTTGTGTTTTCGCTTTTTCGCATTGTGGTATTTTTGCATATTCGTATGTTCACCTTTTAGCTTTTTCGCATCTTCGCCTTCCAGTTAAGCATGCGCAGATTGATAACACATATCCTGAGGAGTAATGGAAGGTAATTTTCATAATATTCTTATCAGCTGTCGCAACCATTGTAGGAGCACGTTTGTCTTGGAGCACATTGTCTCACACATGAGACAAATGGGACCTCAAATGTCTACCCCAAAAAACTCATTTGTGTGACAAATGTGCTCCGATCAAGTTTTTTAAGGGACACATTTGTCTCATGCTTTTTAAGAAGCACATTATTTATGAATTATTTGTCAAATATTTTCTTACGACAAGAATTTTTTTAGAACCGTCGTTTCACATCATGTCAGGTGTAATCATCAATAGTCAGTCAATATTCAAGTTTTTTATTCAGGAGTTTTTGAAACAGAAAATGAAAAAAGTGACCCTTATTGAACTTTTGCTTATATAAAGGTTGAATTTGATATAAATAAGCCATTAAAAAAGTTTGGAGCTATAAAAATGCAGATTTTGTTAAACTCAAAAATTTAATAAGAGATACTGACTGGATCTTCATTAATAATTTAAATATAAATGAAGCTTAAATTTACTTGGAATGTATGTTACATACTATTTATCTGTGCATACATAATGTAAATGGTGACAAAAAAGTTAAACATAACACACTGAATGGTTCAAGGGGATGTTTTCTGCACAATCCAAACTTTGTCCAAATACAGTGTGCATCCGAAATAGGTCTATTCACTAAACCATTGGAACAGGTGTAAATCAGAACATTTTAAAACACCGCTGTAAGAAATTCTGAAATAAAACAGTACTTTTAGTTTATACTTACATTTTCTATTAAAAATAATTCACATAACTTGATCAAAATCATGTTAACTTTACGATGCAGTTTTCAAAAATGGATACTTTTGCAAGTGAAAATTGTACCCTAGCACCGCTTAGAGTGAAATCGGCCATTCCCATTGGTTGTTGAGTTACGACTTTTTGGAAATCAAATTATGTGTTTAAATGTGTGTAAACGGACTTACGTCTTTTTGGAACGGAAAATAGCGTATTTATTATTAGTTCTACATGGGTGTAAGTCGGCCCATCTTGTATAGCTTGAAATTACGAATCCAACGATACCAAACATGACATTTTGCCAAAAAATCGAGTTACGTCCCTCTGGAAATAAGGCGACGATATAAAGATGGAAAAAACAACTTTTTAACAAGTGTTGCATAGCGAGAGTTTTAAATGTGTTTACTCCATTTTATTTGTCTGATTGGATTTTACGTTGCAGCGACATGTTATTGGTGAATAGGCGACTTTCAAGCTTTACTAGTGCTGAAAGGCCTAAGGTGCCCTTCTGTGAATTAATTCAGACACGAACAGTCACCTGAGTCGAACCACCGATGTTCCGAAAGCTAGCTGGCAAATGTGACTTTGACCTTTGAACCAATAGGGGTTATCTACTGGCCAATACCAATATACCTGTGAAGTTTCATTGAGGTTATGTGTGAAGAATATCCTGGACACAAACGGGATCAGATTTCATAGATCATAACCGTATAAATGGGTTAGTGTTTTGCTTTCTAAATAAAACACAGCTTATTATATGTTTATGACTAGTAGATATCATCACTTGCTTTAAGAATAAAATAAAAAGAAAACTTCTCAAGTAGGCCTAAAGTAAAATTAAAAGGTAAGGACAGTTTAGTTATTGTTACTCTTGGTTTATTTTTGTTACAGTCAGATTTAGTTGATAATTCTAGATCATCATAGCATTTTTGTTCGGGGTAATGAAATAAATAACACATGTGTTTGTGGGTAACAGTAAAAATGTCATCCCTTGTAGAAATACTGTTACCATTGGTTACGCCTCGGGTAACAGTATTTTCCTCGGGATGATATTTTTACTGTTACCCATAAACCCATGTGTTATTTATATAATGTAACATACAAATGTAGGTTGAAACTAAATAGATAATCTAAGCTATCATATATATGTACAGCAAGGAATATACTATCAAACATAAAGGAGGGGATCAGTGGATCGTAAAGATGTACAACAGAGAATACTATCACACATATATGAGGGGATCAAATGGGTGAACTAGGGGATCATACAGATGTACAACAGAGAACATCTTATAAAACATATAAACGGGGATCAAAGAGGGGATATCCGAAAAGGGTGAACTAGATGATCATATAGATGTACAATAGAGAACATACTATCAAGCACACAGGAGGGGATCAAAGGAGTGTACTTAGGGGATCATACAGATGTACAACAGAGAATACATTATCAAACATATCAGAGATGAACAAATAGATCTATATGAATCCCCTAGTACATCCATTTGTTCCCCTCCTGTATGCTGATAGCTTTGAAATCTATGCCCTGCCATCATTGATCCCTCTGTCTTTGATAATGTTCTTGTTGTAAGGCACTGTTCCCTTAGATGGACGGACTTATAATTGCAGTCCTAAAGATAATATACGAAATTTAGAAAATAGTTAGCCGAGCGCAATGTTTAGTTAATTTTCATAAACCAGTAAATTTATGAGTTTAGTTTATTCTTAACCAAACTATTGAAGTAGAAGCAAATGTGTTGTTTTTTTACCAAAAATGTAAGTGTTTATAAGTATGGGGTTGGAGCGTTTATAAAACATTAACCAGTGGATATATTTTGTAAATGTTGACGATAACATAACCTTAAATGACATTATGCGGCCAAATTTTTAAGAACGTGTGTAACTGCCACGTGCCCTGATGACAGCCTCAACCCTTCTCGTATACCAGTTAGGCGTCTAATGCGATTTTGAGGTTAATTTTGCCATTTTTGGTACAAAGCTTGTTCCAGTTGTTGAAGGTTGACTACAGGTGATTCGTAAATTTAAATTTCAATTGTGCTCATGTCAAAATTGAGGCAAAATGCCGGATGTGCTTAATTTATTTCCAGATTTGTATATTCTCTGCTGTACATCTATATTATCCCCTAGTCCATCTATTTGATCCCCTCTGATATGTATCTGTTATACATATATACGAACCCCTTGTACATTGATTTGATCCCCGTTTATATGTTTTATAAGATGTTCTCTGTTGTACATCTGTATGATCCCCTAGTTCACCCATTTGATCCCCTCATATATGTGTGATAGTATTCTCTGTTCTACATCTTTACGATCCACTGATCCCCTCCTTTATGTTTAGCATGATGTTCTCTGATGTACATTTATATAATTCCCTAGTCAATCCATTTGATCCCCTCTGATATGTTTGATAATAAATTCTCTGTTGTACATCTGTATTATCCGCTAGTACATCCATTTGATCCCTTCTGATATGTTTGATAATAGATTCTCTCTTGTAAATCTGTATGATCCTCTACTACATCTATTTGATCCCTCCTTTATGTTTGACATGATGTTCTCTGTGTATAAGTAATAGAATATACACGAGGACTTTACCGGCTGGTATCAGCGCATGGGGTGACAACAAGGGTCAATCATAGGAAATTAATCGAGACAGAACGTCCCTTGCAATTCAATACATTCGAGGCGCGCCTGCCCGGAATAGCTGTGTTGAAGGAACTGGATATAAATAATCAGTTTACGAGGTAAGTTAATGCATTTTTCTTAATGCGAAATATTAATCATCTTTCCAGCTCTATTTCAAAATATAATCTAGGAAATATTGTACATAAGAATTCAGAGGTATATCTTGTACACGTATTTTTTTAAAACTAAGGAAAATATAGTGATTTGTACACTACTTCAATCTGTTAGTAATTATGGTATTTAGAATATTAAGTTCATACGTGCAGTGACTTAATGAGTGGCTTTCTGGTCAGAATCTCCTGTAAAACAAGGCATTGTTTGAAGCAAAAATGAATAATTTAATCATTGTTTTAGATTTGTCGTCCAGGTCAGGATACAGAATGGCGATTACTTTGCACTGGAGTTAACATCTTTATAATAACTTCATTTTCAAGTCTTGAAAAAAAATGATCGAGATATGTAAATTTTGTTTTTTGAAGAAAAAAAAAGAAAAGAAAAAAGTTCTGTCAACTGTGTACTGTTTTGTTTTGCTCTTTTTCAGGTATGATCGGTTTATTATTTGAAATAAAATAACAAACTGAAAATGTGTACTGATACCTCATATAGAGCACCCCAAAGCGTACTGATACTTCATTTAGAGACTCCAAAATTTTCCAATACTGAGATTTAGAGAATGCCGATCTTCAAAGAAAAGTTGAGGCGGTCATCAATAATGTACATTGATATAATCCCCTAGTCAATCCATTTGATCCCCTCTGGTATGTTTGATAGTATATTCTCTTTTGTACATCTATATGATCCCCTAGTCAATCCATTTGATCCCCTCTGATATGTTTAATAGTATATTCTCTGTTGTACATCTATATGATTCCCTAGTCCATCAATTGTTCCCCTCATATATGTTTGACATGATGCTCTCTTTTGTACATTTATATGAGCCCCTAGTCCATCCATTTGATCCCCTATTATATGTTTGATGGTATATATTCTCTGTTGTACATCTATACGATCATCTGTTTCATCAGTTTGATCCCCTATTATATGTTTAATAGTATATTATCGATTTTGATCATCTATTTCATGTTTAATAGGGTATTTTCGATTTTTACTTATACGATTCCCTATTTTCATTCTTGTTTAACCATTCGATCCCCTCTGACACGGTCCTTCTGATACTTTGAATAATATATTCTCTCTTGTACATCTATACAATACCCTAGCCTATCCATTTGATTGCTGATTTTATGGTTGATAATATATTTTCTGTTTTTTTACATTTATTCGTTCCCGTAGTCCATCCATTCATTAGCGTATTATATGTTTAAAAGTACATAATATTCACGAAGGATGCCAAAAGCTATAAAGACAATATATATTATATTCAAAAATGAGAAAAATAAACATGAATTCCGTAAATGATTGAAGATATCGAAAAATTTCTTTCATAAGATTTTCTACATTTTTGATAATATCAAATAAAGTTTTATGGTGAAATCAAAAATAAAAATATTTATGTGGATGTGTTAGATTTTTTTGTCAACAGGCAGTTTCCATGGTTTCCGCATATGCAAACTGTCAAAATAACCATACACTTTATTAAGAAGTATCAGTGTTACACCAAATGCATTGTTATATATACAACAGACACATGTTGATATATAAATTTATATTTATTTTGATGTTATATGAAGCAGGTACGGGGTAGTGAGCCAGAGCCGCAATGTGCGAACAAGTGATTTACCATCTTTTAAAACAAAGTGATTGGCGCCAAGCAATGGTTTATTGTGACGTATAAATTCATTAAGAAAGATTTTTAGACATAAAAAAGGTAAATTCACTTAGTTTTACTGACGTATAAACAATTTGCCTTGGGCATGTGAACAAATAAAAAAAAACACCTATAATATAACACACATATGATGTTAAGCACTAGTGACATAATTTCCTCTACATCTATCACAGTGGTCTCCCTTTATTACTACACGTAGTAGCAAAAACCGAATTTATATATACTTGTATGAAGTAAATGAAGAAAATACTAAATATGTTTATAAACAAGTATATAAGGCCGTATAATTTCTTCACTCGACTTACATATACGAGAACAGTAAGCCAAAAAATTAAAAAAAAATAAATAAAAAAAAAAAATAATTAAAATTTGAATTTTTTTTTTTGCAATATTTATTTTAAATATATCATTTAAAACTTCTTTTTCTACTTGTCTGTCTGTAATCAAGTGGCGACACACTTTCGTCACTACCACAAGTGGGTGAGGTAACCTGTTATAGCCTGGATAATACCTGTAGGATTATTTTGGGCTCTGATGGAAGGGCTAGGCATTTTAAGCCCCTTTTCTTTTGTCAAACTTTCGCCATTACTTCATGTTGGTCTCATCACTACTACATTTATTTATATGCACATATACAGCTTTCAGTTTACACTGCTGTATATATCATACAGCATAATGCTACAGTTAACATCTTAAATTTGGCATGGTACTTCCCCGGTCCAGTGATGATCCAGCTTGATTTTAAATCCATGGACACTTTTAGAATCTACTAGATCTAAGTTCTAAGGTAAATTATTCCATGTTTTAATTACTCGTCGTGAAAACTGATTCAAGCAATAAGTGTTTCTACTACGAGGCATTTCTACAATTAAATTATGTCACGTGCACGGAATCATCATCAATATTGTCATACCAATATTAGAAGAAATCCTTTATCTGTTATCTAAACTTGACTGGATCTCCTTCTGAACATTTAGAAATTTTAATCTTGTATTAATCACTCATTATTTGTTTGAAGCCAAAATTAAAAAATTTAATGCGCACTACCTAAATCCATCGAACGAGGCGACGACCACAGCGGCGGCAAACAACTGTTTTAGTCTGTGCCATAGGCGGAGCTTAGCCGATCCCTTTTTCCGCTTACCATTACAAGTTTAATACCAACACAATGGAGAAAATCTATTATATTTCCTATTTTAAAAGACCCTACTACAGATGTAAGATTACCTATGGTTAGTTTACTTTCACGTATCAGTAAACTGTATAGTCCCTTTATTAACAAAATTAAACCAGCACGATATTATCGCGATAAGCAGAAAAAGGAGAATAGCTGAAACCATATTTCTTTTTACACTACTGTTGCAGCTAAGCTTCTTGAAAAATTACTTAATGGTTTACATGGTTAAGTTTTATGCTGACAAGCGGGTTATTTTTAAAAAAATATTTTTGTTCACGCAAGGTTTACAAAAACTCCTTTAGTGCAAATAAAGCCATAGGTTTGGATGGTATTTCATCTCGTTTTGTCAAAGATGCTACATCCATTATAGTAAGTTTTTTAACACATGTTGTCAACTTATCAATGATAACGACGACGACGACGGCGGAAGGAAAGAATGCTCATACAAAAGCTCACCTCTGAGCACTTTGCCCTCATTTGAGCTACAGATGGTATATATACTATAAACGAAGACGTAGGCATTTGAAAAAATGCATTTTTCTTGCAAGCTTTCTGCACGTAAAATTGTGTCATTATGACTTGCGTTTTATGAACTAAAAATATGACTGAAATTTTATTTCTTTCAGTCACCGTGCCCTCAACCCGCAAGATACACAATAAAATGGATTAATCCATAAAAAGCAATTGCACAGCACTAATCATACTTACTATCAGTGCTTTTAGTCATTTGATCATGAATGTTTTCTGACGACGTTTTAGAGACTTGTCTTTTTGGCCAGGAGAAGAAAAATGTTTGTTAACACGATCATTTCAAATAAATAAATAAAAAAAAAAACAACAACAAACAAACAAGAATTATTATTTTTTATTTTCATATAAAACTATCTTATTTAAGTTGACATACATATAACAAGAACATTCTTTTTTCTCGATATTTAACATACAAAATAGATTGTATATAAACATTGCATATGAATACATAAAACGTTTACTTATATACATTAAACAAATCATACTGTCTGAGAACATACATTAATTGTGTTGACGGCCAACTGTTATAAGGTAAATAATAAAAACAACTTAACAAAGAAGTTATTAATATGAAAAATTGATGAATAATTCCACTGTTTTGAATCAAAAATTTTAAAAGTATGTATCCAACATCATTAATTTATGGAAGAGAGCATGAGAATAAACGTAAGATTTTAAATACTAAATCTAAATAACAGAGTTCAAACGATAATGAATGCAGGCATACACTTGTAGAATCAGTACTACGGTTCTACATGTATGACGTCACCCGTATGAATATAAAGGAAGATTTGTAATCACTTGGACATCATCATTGCAACAAATTCTGAAACAAAAACAGTATAATAATAAAACATGAGAATAATTTTCAAATACATGTACTAGTATTTTATAATATTGAACATGAAGTAAGTTAGCTATTACCCAAACCATTTAATTTGAAATTAGTTATTGATATACACTGAGTGATTTAAGGTAGCTCGCCTAGGATCTGAATAATTTTTGGTTTGCAAACATAGATATATTTAAGCTTTACTTCCGCAGCATTTATTTTGTAAAGAAAGAGCGTGAGTATGACGTCAAAGCGCTGTAGGAGCACATTTGTCTCGGAGCACATTTTTCTCACGAAGTGTGACCGATGTGTTCGTAAACATTCATATTTGCGACAAATTGGAAATGAGACAGATGTGTTCGACACACAATAGAAAGGACACTCGAAGCACATTTGTCTCACATTTTTCCATAAAATTCTTAAAAGGTAATAATTATGCCCATCTGTATACCGGCTACCAGCCATTGTTCTGTGTTTTCTGTATTTATAATACCGTTTTTAGGTCACTTCCGGTCAGTCAAAAACTTCCTGCCTCTGCATAGGAGTCATATATTAAATTAAAGAATATCCTTGTTCTGCATGTCACAATGAAAATTTCTACAAGTGCATCATCCAGAACCTAAACACAAATGCAGCAAGTCTATTCTTATCGTTATTAATTGTGATACGTTTTTTTCAATGCTTAAAGTTTTATAGATGATTTATGGCACTAGAAATATTCTTAGCAAAAACAAGGTAGTATCTACGGTGGCATAAAGGAGACATAAAATTTTCTTATTTATTACGTGCGCACACGATAGCTTTCCCTTACGTGGCCACGCGATACTATTACGTGCGCACGCGGATATGTATTCCGCATTTGGACCCTGACCGGGATCCTCGCATGAATAGTTCGACGCCCCGTGTATGTGTCGAACCTACAGCGGTTAGGGGCAAGTGGTTTTTTGAAATCACTCGGCCACGGAGGCCCTTAAATGATCTATGGAAGAAAATAAGAAGACCATTACACACGTTTTGTTTTCATCAGAAATATATGTATAAAAAAATCGTCATTTTCCAAGAATTGCGGCTTTCAGATCCGCCATTGAAAAAGCACTTACAACATGCATGAGTTCCTAAAATAATCCAGGTAATGCCATAATTATGGAATATCGGGCCACTCAGAATCGGGCGAGACGAGACATTCCGATGAGACACGAAGCGAGGCACGATATTGTAACACAAGATCTCGCAATGTCAAGTACCCCGTACCACGAGATTTAAGAAATGAATACATTGTTACTTCTTTAGATAGGGCAAGTATGAATTTATTAATATTCAAATAATGATTTCTGAGGAAGTTGGATGCTTGTAACCCAAAGGAATTCGCTATAAATGTGAAATAATAGGTTATAAAAGTAGCAAAATGTAAACAACGTGCATGTAGTATTTTGATTTCAATGCCTTCAATGCAAAATTCTAAATCACTTCAACTGTACAAACTGCAAAAAAGCAGCAGATGAAAAAATGTTTTAGGTAATTAGCCAATGCGTAACTTTTTAGAGCTATAAAATTATATCAAAAATAAAAAAGCTTTAATTTTGAGGAATACAATTAAAAGTATTTTTCAGGCATAATGGGCCTTAAAGTGATTTTATGTAGACTATAAAGGAAATACTACTTAGCGGTATATGACCTAGAACCAATTTCTTGTCTCGCGTCGACGAACGAGATGCGAAGCGAGACGCGAGAATTCGGCGAGATGCGAAACGAGTCACGATATTGTATCATTCAGTATCAACCGATTACGGTGTTCCGTTTGGACATAAGTGGACATATTTGTCTCCCTGAACAGCTAGCTGTGCACAATGGCACAAAGGTGAAAATGAGATGGTACGATGGTACTATGATTAAAACACGATGGAACGATGGTGAAATCACGATAGAGAAAATAATATCGCGTTTTTATCATCATGCCATCGCAGTTTCATCATATCGTTCCTTCGTATTTTCACCATCGTAACATCGTCTTTCACCATAGTACCATCACGTTTTCATCATCCAACCTTCGTTGTTTCACCATCGAACACTCGTTCTTTCACGTTCGTACCATTGTGTTTTCACCATCGCGTTTTCATCAACGTACCATCGTGCCATTGCGCTGTCACCATTGTACCATCGTGAACGGGATTTAGTATGTTTCAGTCTACGCCTTCAGGTTAAGCCAATCAATTTCTTGAATTAGAGATATTATAATTAACAGTTCACTTTAGGTTTTCATAAAGAAAGCATAAGCAAACTTATGATTACACTTGACATGAGGTAAAACGGCGAACCTCGATTCTATAAAAGAATTTCTGACGTGGGGAAATGTGTGACAAAATTAATAATTCAAAAAAAAATGACATGAGACAAATGTGCTTTCTTGACCCTTAAAAACACATGAGACAAATGTGCTTGTCCCTTAAAAAACTTGATCGGAGCACATTTGTCACACAAAAGAGTTTTATGCGATAGACATTTGAGGTCCCATTTGTCTCATGTGGGACAAATGCGACCGCATCGGTCTTTCGTAAGACAAATGTGCTCCGAGACAAATGTGCTCCTACAAAGCACCCCTATCGGCGGAGGTGAAACTTCGTCTTTTTATCAATAAATTGGACTGTTTTTATCAATTCTCGTTCGATTTTCTCCGTTTTAATTTTATAATGTTCAGTAGACCTATGCCTTTACATTGATGTCTTTCTTTTAACCTTGCTTAATAAACTGTTGTTCTATGGCTAATTTTGTTCAAAACTGTAAAAAATAATATCGTCATCGCAATAACAATTGGAAAATTCAACATGGTGAATTTTGCTTTAATTTTTTAGTATGTGGTGAAATCGTGACGATGCAATAAAAATATAGGGTCAACGCGTAAGATATTTTGTGATTACTGTTTAATATAAAAAGGTGAGTAAAAAGTTCACGACATTACCGATAAATAGCATCATGACACGAATAAAAATCTGTAAAAAACATCAACAGCATTAGTATTAAGATATTTTCCGTAAAAATGTTCTATTGAAGCAAAAATGCTGTCAGCTGCCTACGTTTGAAATTATATACATGTACAACAGACCAGGGTATGCCAGTAATGATGATAATGAATGAAAATAATGAAATATGAATTTTATGTTATATCTTATGTTTCTTAATATTGGGTTTAATACCACTTTCAACAGTATTTCAATTACAGAAGTTACACTCCAACACTAAACGGGTCTAAAATATCAACACATTTGTTCTCAGCTACTAAATAAGCATAGACGTAAATTTTGCAGTTTTCATGAAATGAATGTGACCTAACGGTTGTCATCTTTAATCATGTTGCGGGTAGGATAGCTTTATGCAGGTAGAACTATGTAAATGTTATTTAACCCGGATTGCTGATATATGTTCGTTGTTTCTTTTTATAGACATAATTTTCTATAATATATTGTGCAGCAATCGATTGCGGGATAAAGAACAAATGTTCCACCCGCAACCAATGGATATACATTGTACTTGCAATCAGTTAACGGGTGTCTGTATAAATTATGTCAATGTTTACAAAATAAAACGTTGCAACGGATTAAAATCACAGCATAGCCAAAATAATCATATCAAAAACTTTTATGTTGTTTTTTTTTCCTTCGGACAAGACATGTATGAATCATCTAGTTTCTACAAATGTGGTGAAATTTTACCTTTTGATGACATTATATATAAAAAAACTACAATGTGTGGGATAGTCGCATAATAAAGCGCAGGGAATTTAACAAAACTAGTGTTTCCAGTATAAACTTCTCTTCAGAAATAATTGACATCTCTCAGGAGTCTGAGGTGGACCACAAATTATTGTATACACAATAAACGAGTTCAAAGGGTCGCTAAGAACGTGCACATCGCACAGGTCATCTATACACACAACTACACTCTTGCTTACTAAGCAAAAGTATATTCTTTTTGTACAATGTTAATAAAATTTATTAAAGCAAATGTAATATATAGGTAGCGCTTTGACGTCATACTTACGCACTTTTTTAACAAAATAATACTGCGGAAGTAAAGCTTACATAGCTTCATGTTTGCATACAAAAATCATTCAAATTTCAGATGTTGTCAAATTTCGGTCGTAAAGTAGCGAGCTAAGTACGTAGGAGCAGCACATTGGTCTTACGTAAGACCGATGCCACAAATTGGACCTCAAATGTCTACCCCAAAAAACACTCATTTGTGTGACAAATGTGCTCCGTTTAATTTTTTTTAAGGGACAAGTAAGCACATTTGTCTCATATTTTTAAAGTGACAAGAAAACACATTTGTCTCGTGTCATTTGTTTATGAATTATTTGTCACATATTTTCCCACGGCATAAATGTTTTCGCCGTTTTACCTCATGTCAAGTGTAATTATCAATAGTTTTGCTAATGCTTATTTATGAAATCTTTAACCTAAAACCTACAGTGACTCTATTAATTCTAATATTATCTCTAATTCAAGAAATTTGATTGGCTAAACCTGAAACCTGAAGGCGTACACTGAAACATACGGAAGCACGTTCACGAATGTACGATGGTGAAACAACAATGGTACGATGGTGAAAACACGATGTCACGATTGTGAAAATTCGATGGTACGATGATGAAACTGCGATGGCATGATGATGAAAGCGAGATATTATTTTTACCATTTCGTCATCGTATCATCGTGATTTCACCATCGAGCTATCGTGCTTTCATCATCGTACCATCGCGCTTTCACCATTGTGCTATCGTGCATAGCGGTTCAGGGAGACAAAACATATTACTTGTCCAAACGCAACACCGTAATCGGGCGATATTTGATGGAAACAATATCGCGACTCGATTCGCATCTCGCAAGAATCTCGCTCCGCATCTCATACTTCGACGCGAGTCAAAAAAATCCTTCGAGGCCATATGCCGCTAAATAGTATTCCCTTTATATTCTTTATAAAACTGACATTTTTCATAG